AACAGGGAATCACATGGGTTTTACACTCTCACACAAAAAAACATGGTGTCATAACAAGGGTTTTACCCCCCTCACACATAAAAAGGGCATACACAATGGTTTTTTTTACACCTCACACAAAAACATGGTGTCATACCAGGGGGTGTTTTAAACACTCTCACACATAAAACGGTGTCATACACGGGGTGTTTTTACACCTCCACACATAAAACATGGTGTCAACAAAATGGTTTTTTACACTCCACACATAAACAGGTGCATACAAGGGGTGTTTTACCCCCTCAAACATAAAACAGGTGTCATACACAATGGTGTTTTAACACTCCACCATAAAATCATGTGGTGCTTTTTTGTTGAATTTTTTTTTATGTGCAAGAAAAAAAAAACCCCTCGTCTGACATTTTCTTAAAAGTATTAGCAGGCAGTTGGTTATGTAGTATCCTAGGTAAATGGCGTTTCATCCTTCCTTCCTAATTTCCTTCTTTCCTTTTCCTTCCTGGAGGCACCTGGGGGGCTTTCCCCTCTCTTCCCATTCCTTCATCTGTCCTTCATTACTTTTTTTTCCTTCCTTTCATCTAGTTTTCCTCATTCCGCTTCCCCCTTCTTGTTTCTGGTTTCTAAAAATAAAAACACATATATAGTCACTGAACTTTCAAAAAACTCCTTTTATCACCCTTCAGCAAGCTTTGTCTTGTGTGCGAGTGTGTGGTTTATAATTTTTTTTGAGTCAGGAGTGGGCAGCTGAAAAAATGACTATTGCTCATTAGTCCGCCCCTACCCCCTGTCAAAACAATGGGGTGGGATGCTCTCCCCCTCCATTCTATCTAATTACTTTCCCCCTCTTCTACTTTTTAATCTTCTCCTTTCTCTCTCTCTGTCATCCTGTCTCACAGGTCCCAAAATACAACAACATATGTAAATTACCCAGGATAACCCAAAAAATTTCCCGACAAATTTCATACTCTGCTTGAAGATGTGAGTAAAGGTTATGATACACATCTTGTGGCTTCTCTGAACAGAGCTAGACGGGTAGACAGGGAGTTTGGCAGACAGACAAATAACAGACAACAAATTTCCCCCCCCTCCTCCCCCCTCCTCCTGCTCCTCGCTGCTTTCTCCTCCTCCTCCTCCTCCTCCTCCCCTCCTCCCCCTCCTCCTCCTCCCCTCCTCCTCCTCCTCGGCTGCGCTTTGGGTCTGCTGCTGCTGCTGCTGCGCTGCTGCCTGCTGCTGGGGTGCTGCTGCTGCTGCGCTGCGCTGCTGCAGCGCTGCTGCGCGCTGCTGCGCTGCGCTGCGCTGCGGGTGCTGCTGCTGCCCGTGCTGCTGCTGCTGCTGCTGCTGCTGCTGCTGCTGGGTCTGCTGCTGCTGCTCTGCGCTGCTGCTGCTGCGTGCTGCTGCTGTGCTGCTGCTGCTGCTGTTCTGTGCCCGCTGCTGCTGCTGCTGCGCCCCAGCTGCTGCTGTGCTGCTGCGCTGCCCGCTGCTGGCTGCTTTCTGCTGGGTGCGCTGCTGCTGCTGCTGCGCTGCTGCTGCTGCTGCGCTGCTGCCTGCGCTGCTGCTGCTGCTGCTGCGCTGCGCTGCGTGCGCTGCGCTGCTGCTGCTGCGCTGCTGCTGCCCCGGGTGCTGCTGCTGCTCTGCGCTTTTGCTGCTGCTCTGCTGCTGGCTGCTGCTGCTCTGCTGCTGCGCTGCTCTCGCAGCGCTGCTGCTGCTGCTGGCTGCTGCTGCTGCTGCTGCGCTTGCTGCGCTGCTGCTGCTGCTGCTGCTGCTGCTGCTGCTGCGCTGCTTTCTGCTGCTGCTGCTCTGCTGCTGCTGTGCTGCTGCTGCGCTGCTGCTGCTGGGGGCTGCTGCTGCTGCTTTCTGCTGCTGCTGCTGCTGCTCTTCTTCTTTTTCTTTTTTCTTCTTCTTCTTCTTCTTTTTTTTTCCTCCTTTTCCTTCTTCTTTTTCCCCCTCCTTTTTCTTTTCCCCCCTCCTTTTTCTTTTTTCCCCCTCCTTCTTCTCCTTTTTCTTCTTCTCCCCCCCCTCCTCCTCCTCCTCCCCTCCTGGCTCTTGACAGATGGCACTGCCCCCCTCCCTCCCACCCTGTTTACGTCATCAAAGGCACCTTATCAGATTTTTCTCCCCTTTTCTTGTCACTGCTGGGGGGGGAACTGTTTTCATGCCTCAAGGGAAAATTAAATTTCATATTATTATTATAGGTATTTTTATTATTTTTATTTTTCTTCTTCTTTTTCCTTCTTTTTCTTCTTTCCCCCCCTTCCACCTTCCACCTTCATCCTCCTCCCTCCCTCCTCCTCCCCCCCTCCTTCCTCCTCCCTCCCTCCTTCCCCCTCCCCCTCCTTTTTCCTCCCCCCTCCCCCCTCCTCCCTCCCACCTCCTCCCTCCTTCTTCTCCCCCTCCTTCTTTCCCCCTCCCCCCTTCTTTCCCCTCCCTCCTTCTTCCTCCTCCCCCTTCCTCCCCCCTTCCTTCCTCTTCCCCCTCCTTCCTTCCTCCCTTCCCCCCCTTTCCTCCTCCTCTTCTTTCCTCCTCCCCTCTTTTCCCCCTCCTCTTCTTCCCCGCCTCTTCTTCCTCCTCCTCTTTTCTCCTCCCTTTTTTCCCCCTCCCTTTCCTCCTCCTCCTCTTCCCCCTCTTCCTCCTCCTCCTCTTCCTCCTCCTCCTCCCCCCTTGCTTTTTGGGCTCAAACTCCTCGAAATCATAAATTGATCTTCATTGACACTTTCCCTCGTGTTAGAGATCACTTGGAAGAGAAAGTCCCAATTTTAAGGAAGTCACATATTTTTTTTTACCGCAACATGCTGAAAAAAAGGGGGGACTGAAAGGGTTTTTCCCCAATGCACCACTGTCCCCGATTTTTTTTATATGGTGCACACTGCGATGGAACCCATTTTTCACCATGGGCCCACCACTTTTTTCCGCTTTATTTGAAGCTGCTAAATTTATGGTATAGAACTCAAACCTGTAAATTTCCCATGACTACATATACGACCGCGCAAACAAAGGGTTAAAAAGCTTTTGAAGACAGCTTGTTTTTTTAAAATTTTCTTAGTTTGTATAAGACTAGAAACTCAAGAAAGCATTGTTCAAACAGTGGCACATTATTGACTGAAGAACAAACTAGAGGGACGACTGCATAGGTTAATCAATGTACGTCAAGGTTTTCCCCCTTTACGTTTTATTAAACTTATTGAAAACCGCAGGTAAAGTCTCAACTCACTTTTCATCATTTCAGTAACTATGTTCTTTAACTTTTAGTGCACCTACAGCACCACGAATGACTTAACCCTTTGACTGTTTTGGTGATAAACGTCTTACAAGCCACTGTTTTTGACATATATATACTCATAAATACTTTAAATGTAGCAAAATAACATTATAAGGGGTTCAGGGAAAACCGGGAGGCCGCTTAGCCTGGAGAGGGAAGTACAGTGCCCCCTTTAAAAGGGGGGGGTGTTAATGTTGCATTTAAAAACGTAGTGTAAAGCACCCTTCTGGCAAACAGTGATGGGGTGAAAGAGGTGAAAGTTTTTCTTTTCAGCCACCCTGCCTGGTGGGAACGGCCTTTTGAAATAATAAAAAAAAAAAAATTCTACGGCTTAAAATCAAACAGGAGAAACCCGGTTTGGCCCACATGGAGAGAAGGTCCCGTGTGGGGGCATGTGCACCATAAAAAAAAATCCCGCAGCACGCAGTGCATAAAAGGGGAAAAAAAAAAAAACCGACCATTTTTTTTAATTAAGATGCTACTTTTGGTTTTTTTTTTCGTAAGTATTTTTTGGGTTTTATTTTTCGTTTTTTGGTCTCATTTTATAGAATGGAAAACATATTTTAGAAAAGATTTATTTTGATTGGCTTTACAAGAAAGAACCTTGAAGTGGACTCAAAGTAGGGGAAAAAGTTATTTTTGCCAGGTTCAAAAGTAAACAAATGTTCTTTTCCAAAAAGTCCAAATACCATTGTAATATGCAGTCATGAATGGGTTGACATTATTTATACAATTATTACAATATTGCAGTAGTCTGCATAACAGTAAATCTTCAATTTTTTGTTTGAATAAAAATTCAAAATAGAAAGCAAGAGTAATATTAGAGAGGCCTGGAGATGTGACTGATAAACAAAGAAAATATTTTAAAGCCAGGAATGTCTGCATTGTTCATTCTGGACCCTATTTTGAAATTGTCATATTTTTTAATTTTCGTGAAATTAGCCAAATTGCAAATTTCTGACCACATTATTGGGTAGTTGAAATTAGTAAATGGGCAGTTTCTTGTACTTAATTGATAGAAAAAATGGAGTTCTAAAGAAATAGCTATGAGTTTGGTCGACTGGAACAACAGAATTAGCCGAAAATGGGGCTCAAAGTGAGCGAAATCGCCGATTCGTAAATATCGCAGAGGTCGCTAACTTTGCGAGAGCATAATTACTTAAGTTTTCCATCAAATTTCGTTCTTTTGGTGCCATTACAGTAGTGAAAAGATTCTCTATCATTTCATAAGAAATTTTTTTTTTTGGGGGGGAAATTTTGCGACACCAGGAGACACCACAGGATTTGGGGTTGCTACAGTCAAGGGGTTAACATTGCTGCCACAGTGCAACACTAGATATTGGTCATTACATATCTCATAAACTTGAAGTTTATATGTACACTGTACATATAAACTTCAAGTTCATCTTATACTGGTAGGAGGTTGGTAGTTAGCAACCACCCTGCAGGTGTTACTGTCTTGTCATGTGAATGTGTTATGGAAGCCTGCTCAATGTTTTGTACTGTAATTGTTTTGTTTGTATTCTGTTTTGATCTCAGGAACATGTAAGATAGTATGTAAATCTTAAAATTTCTTCTCAAATTCACTATACACTTTCTTTTTTTACTTTTACATGTTTCTTAATACAAGTCTCACTTGCATTGTTTGATAGATGCTTTCATGACCCACACCTCGCACTAAATTTGCATAAAATGAACACATTATAAACTGTAGAAAGCACTGTCTTAACCTACTTGTATTTACCAGGTTCGTAATAAGCAACGGTCTGGGACAGTGATTACAGATGAGATGCGAGAGGAATTTGCTGAGTTTTGGGACCAACACAAATATAATCCTCTGACAGCAAGAAACATTTTATTAGCTTCATTCTGTCCTCAGGTAATAAACCTTTGATCTGTTATACTATATTTTATGGTTAAATGGCACTTTTAATTGAGGAAGATGTCAACAAATTGATGATTTACTATTATGGGGCAAGCAAGAGTTTAGTATATTATCCACATTTTTAAAAATTAACATTTTTGGTTTTACTGTATTTAATATTAAACTTTTTAAATGTTGAAAATGCTGGAAAAAGTTCTGCTGAGATGTTATCAAAAGTTAATCCATCTTTACCTCTATACCTGTGATGTTTTATTCCATGTGGCACTTTGCTCACCTTGATGATATAACCTTATAACATCAAGACCACTTGTTTCATGTGGGATCAGATGTAGTCAAGATTAACTGCTTTTAACTATTTTTTGGGCCTAGCTCCTAGGATGGTTCTTCCTGTATCCATGTACTGTTGTGTTACCATTCACAGGGTGGATATGGGGTGCACAATAAATTAGCTGCTTCTGCAGCAAAATATAAAAAAAGTCATGTGGGACTTTCCTTCGCTTGAAATGTGCTTTTTTAGATGCCTGTTTAAGTAGTTGAACACTTAAAAAAATTACTTAAAAATCCTGTTTGATAAATTGGATATCACATTATTGAAACAGATTTTATTTGCTTGCATTGCATTAACCCTTTGAGGGTCTGTCCCGTAGTTCTACTGCTTTGAAGCCGGGGTCCAAGCTGTAGTTCTACGCCATGAGCTCAGCTTACTCAGATAAGCTGTGAGCAGTATATCTGGGCCTAAATATGAGAGAATGCATCTATGTGGTAAGTGTGCACCACAGTAAAGCAAATCCTGCTGGCACACAGTGCATAATGAAGAAAAAAACTGTGACCGTATTTTGGGATTAAAACAGTGACTTTTCGTATGTTTTTTACAGTTGTATTCACGACTTCTTGATCTCATTTGATAGAATGGAAGCTATATTACATTGGTTGGTTTTAGTATTGATTGGTTTTAGTACTGAAAAAGGCTTGAAACTGAGCTTAAAGTAGCGGAAATGTTCGATATTTGCTGATGTTCAAGAGTAAGCAAATAATGTCACATGTCTAATGCAAGTCAGCTGGTGGGTCTGATGTGCGTTCCTGAATGCGCTGATATTATTTATATGATTATTACAATATTGCATAGCAGTAAATCTTCTAGTTTTTGGTGTGAAAAAAAAAAATCATTCTGTGAATTAAAAATCAAAATGGAATTCATTTGTAAAGTCTGGAAACATAACTAATAAATGGAGGAAGTATCAGTTTAGTGGAAGGAATGCCTGCATTGTTTATTCTGGACCCTATTTTGAAAGTGGAATATTTTGAACTTTGTGTTAAATTGGCCAAGTTACCAATTTCTTATCACTTTATTGGGTAGTTGAAACAGTTGAGTGGGCAATTTCTTGTGCTCAATTGATAAAATACAAGTAATACTGGCAAAATAGCTAAGAATTTAGTTGACTGAAATAATGTAATTGACCTAAAATGGGAGTCAAAGTCGGCAAAATCACCGATGTGAAATTATCGCTGAAGCAGCAAAATTTGCAAGAGTGTAATTTTGTGGATTTTCCATTAAATTTTGTACTTTTTGTTTTATTACCTTCAGAAAAAAATTCTCTACCATTTCATAAGAAAAAATAACAAAGTTTTTTTTTTTTAAATTCTTGGACCTTGTGGACCCTCAAAGGGTTAATTAACCCTTTCGCTGTTGAGACCACTGCTCGCAAACTTGCTTTCAATGTAAAAGACTTTAAAAAAAAAAAAAATATTGTGAAATGATAGAGAATCTTTTTCCGATGGTAATGAAACCAAAAGTACAAAATTTGATGGAAAAACTTATGAAATTACTCTCTCACGAATTTAACGACTTCATCGATGTTTACGCATCAGCAATTTCGCCCACTTTGAGCCTTATTTTGGGCCAATTCCATTGTTCCAGCTGACTATATTTATAGCTGTTTTGCTAGTACAGTGGTCCCTCGCTTTTCGTAGTTCTCAGCAATCGTAAATTTCGCCAATCATAGGGGTATTTTCGTATAAACATGGACTCGCTTTTCATAGGTTGACTCGCGAATAGTAGTTCGTCCGGGGATGCTACGCACGGTGTGAGCCGGGGCGGCCTCCCTACCCAGCCAGTCTGGCATTGTTTACCAGTGAGTAAAGGTCCCCTCAAGTGCTCCTACGAAATATTTCATAATATTCCACTCATTTTAGTGCTTGCAAGTACTAAATAAGCTACCATGGCTCCAAAGAAAGCTCCTAGTGCCAAGCCTGTAGTAAAGAAGGTGAGAAGTATGTACAGTGACAAAGTCTTGGGCCATTTTAGGAAAGTGTTAAAGAGACGCCAGAAACAGAGCTCTCTCCACAGTTACTTTGCGAGACAGGACTAGAGTGACTCTCAAGGTGGTCCTAGTGGCATTAAGAAACAGAGAAGAGAAGCAACCCCAGAGAAGCAATTGGTACCTGAGGTGTTGCTGGAAGGGGATTCCCCTTCCAAACTGTAAACAATCCAATCTCTCTCCTCCTCCAGTCTCCCATACACTAAGAAGAATCTCCAATAAAGGTAAGTGTTATGCTGTTAATGTTTCATTCATCATTTCCCATTGTATTGTTTATGTACTACATGTATACAGGTCTCCCTCAACATTCATGTTTTCAACTTTCACGGGCTTCACACATTCGCGAATTCCCAACCGCCAAATTCCCAGCCACCAAATCATATTTAAGTTTCCCGCCACCTGCGAGTCCCTACTACCCTCCCTCCGACCCCCGCAACTGGCAGCCAGCCCTCCCACCACTCAGTGTGGTGAGTGTTTTGTTTGTTCATTATTTGCTATTAAACTACAGTATAAATAATGTAAACCCATTCATGACTGCATATTGGAATGGCTATTTGGACAGGTATTAGACGGTGACATCATGTGTTTACTCTTGAACACTGCAAAGAATTAAACATTTCTGCTACAGCTAATAATAACAATAGTAATAATAATAATAATAATAATAATAATAATAATAATAATAATAAATATGATATAATTGAAGAAGGAAATTGTAAAAAAATACGAGGGAGTGGTTGACACATTGTCAGTGTGACTTTGTTTATGCTGGAGCGAACATTAGTTTCCCTGCTCTTCCAAACATTTCACAATAATTCATTGTTGTGATTGAGTGTGACTGGAATGGTAGAGACAGTGATTGAGGCAATGGTATTTAATAACATACATGTTAATAATAATACATGTTATTAATAATATGTACTATTATTATTTATAACATGTATGCTATTAAATACATACATGTTAATAATAATACATGTTTATTAATAATAACATGTACTATTATTATTTATAACATATATGTTATTAAATACCACTGCCTCAACCGCTGAATTATTGTGAAATGTTTGGAAGAGCAGGGAGACTAATGTTCACTCCAGCATAAACAAAGTCACACTGACAATGTGTCAACCACTCCTTCGTATTTTTGTACAATTTCCTTCATCAATTATATCGTATTTATTATTATTATTATTATTATTATTATTATTATTATTATTATTATTATTACTTACTATTGTTATTATTAGCAATAGCAGAAATGTTCGATTCTTTGCTGTGTTCAAGAGTAAACACATGATGTCACCGTCTAATACCTTTCCTAATAGCCATTCCAATATGCAGTCATGAATGGGTTTACATTATTTATTCTGTAGTTTAATAGCAAATAATGAACAAACAAAACACTCACCACACTGAGTGGTGGGAGGGCTGGCTGCCAGTTGCAGGGGTCGGAGGGAGGGTAGTAGGGACTCGCAGTGGTGGAGACATTGGTGGAGGCATTGGTGGAGGCAGTGGTGGAGTCTGTGGTATTTAATAACATACATGTTATTAACATACATGTTATTAACCCTTTCAGGGTCCGTCACGTAGATCTACGGCTTTACGTTCAGGGTCCAAACCGTAGATCTACGTCATGAGCTCAGCTCACTCTGATAAACTGTGAATGGCACATTTGGGCCTAGATATGAGAGAATACATGTATGTGGTATGTGTGCACCACATAAAACAAATCCTGCCGCACTCTGTGTATAATGAGAGAAAAAAACTGAGACAATGATTTTCGATTAAAACAGCGAATTTGCAGTGTTTTTTCGTATGTTTTTTATAGATGTATTTGTGATTTCTTGGTCTCATTTGATAGAATGGAAGACATATTACTGAAATGGACTTGATTTTGATTGGTTTTAGCAATGGAAATGGCTTGAAACTGAGCTCAAAGTAGCGGAAATGTTAAATTTTTGCTGATGTTCAAGAGTAAAAAAACGACCTCACACGTCTAATACACGCCAGCTGGTGGGTCTAATTTACATTCACAAATGTGGTGATGATATTTATACAATTATTACAATATTGCATAACAGTAAATCTTCTATTTTTTGGTGTGAATAAACATTCATTATGTGAATTAAAAATCAAAATGGAATTTATTTGTAAAGCCTCAAAACGTAACTAATGAACAGAGGAAATGTTAGTTTAGTTCCAGGAATACCTACATTGTTTATTCTGGACCCTATTTTGAAATTGGAATATTTTGAACTTTGTGTTAAATTGGCCAAATTACCAACTTCCGATCACTTTATTTTGTAGTTGAAACAGTTGACTTGGCGATTTCTTGTGCTCAATCGATAGAATAGAAGTAATACTAGTGAAATAGATAAGAATTTGGTCGACTGGAATAATGTAATTGGCCTAAAATGGGAGTCAAAGTCGGCAAAATCGCTGATTTGTAAATATCGCTGACACATCAAAATTCGCGAGAGCATAATTTCATCAATTTTCCATCAAATTTCGTACTTTTTGTTTTATTACCTTCACAAAAAAATTCTCTACCATTTCATAAGAAAAAATAAAAAATTTTTTTTTTTGAAAATTCTTGGACACTGGGGCACCACTTCAGATTTTGGCCTTGGACCCTGAAGGGGTTAAATAACATACGTTATCAAAACATAACAT